AAATAAGTAAAAGTATTTGTGGTCAATGAAATTAAAGCACGGTTGTCCAGCAAGCCGATGAAATGTAGGCGTAATAAAAAAATAAGAAATACAAAGAAATTGATAGAAACATAATATAGTGATTCAAATTATCATATTGAAGAGTGTTTTGAATGGTAAGAGAAATAGACTACATAATAAGGAGAAACCATCGTCCTTCCTAAATCATTCCGTACGAGACTTGAAAGAGTCCCAAAGAAAGAAGAAAAGTGAAAAAAATAGAGACAAAAAGGGAGACGGAATAACCTAACTTGCTATATAAACATACCCGAGGCATTATTTCTTAGGGTTACATGTCTCTGCTATGACTCCATCATCCTATTTGAGAAGAGCTACATAAAGAAAAACCATATATTCGTACATGAATCTAAAAAATGAAAATAATATTAGAAAATCTCAGTTAAAACTCTAATAACTTTATAAAAGCATGGATTTTTTGCTGCTAAATAGGAGTGCCGATATGTAACAATTTAACTCTTATGACTCCATAAGCATATCCTCAAACCCATTTAAATCATCAGTATTTGCAGCACCATCTCCTGCACAAGTTTCTTTTTATAGGAATAAGTTCTTAATAAAATAAAAATTTGGACCATACAAAGAAATCATAAAAAAAAAAAAAAATCCTGTAGCGAGGCAAAAATATAAATGATATTCAACTGCATCAGAAGATCCTTCAAATGAGAACAATAATCACACGGAACTTAAAGTCCTTAAATTCATTAAATATATATGACCAAAGATAAGCCAAAAAAATCAACTGTTCTCCAATTAAGTCAAATTACTTTACTCTTCCAGAAAGAATTACGTTTCTTATTTCTTGGGCATCATTTAGAGGAAAACATACAAAATGTGAACGTTTGTGTGTCACGAACAGTTCTTACTTCTTAATGTACTGAGAACTCTTCCATCAAGAATTATGTTTCTTCGTTCTCAGGCATCATTTAGAGGAAAACATACAAAAGGTTAACATTTGTGTGTCACGAACAATTCTTACTTCTTAATGTACAAATATCTATGGAACTTCAAATATTAATCTGAATATTGTGTGCCCAGATATTAACCACAAAACACTACTAAATATTCAGTCTCATGATATTAACTACAAAACATTATAAAATATTGTCTAGGAAATAATTAAAAGAAGATATGGCTCACTCACAAGTCTGGATTCACGTGATATTCTAATATATGTTCTTCCATGATAATAACATTTTTCTTCTGCGATTGTATAATAAATAGGAATATACAATAATTGCAAGGTCAAACCATCAAATTCAAGTCTGCATTAAGATTCTAACAAGGCAAAGAGAGAACAGATGATAATATGAAGAATAGAACCTTGCTTGAAAGGAAATTATGATGGGATATAAATACAAAAGAAAACAGATCTCCTTTTCCTACTTAGAAAATTGCCTGCCCGTCTATTTCTTCCTACATCTATTTATAACACTTTTTCATAACAGAATTTTCCCCCTCCCATATGCTTCCTAACCGAATGCTGTTACACATCCATTCTAGTGGCTTCTCAATTATTCTTGTTGCTTCTAGCATAAGTGAAACGGATTGGGGGCTTAACAGTCTACTAGATCATCCATTGGAATTTGAAGCCCACCCATAGAGTCATGATCTTGCAGTCCAGCATCATCAATGTTGTTCAACCTACTTTGGTATAATCCTTAACATTGTCACTGTCTGTTAAATAGCATAAGAACACACTAAAACTTGTAGAATGCTAAAACCTAACTCCAATCTATGCAAGACAAAAACAAATAACCATCGCAAATGGATGAAAATGCATCATTTGGATAGAGGGAAGAACGACTTTAATTTGGAACACAAGTATAACATTACAAATGAAGACTACTATTTACTTCAGCAGTCACCTTCCTCTTTATCTTCAAGATCAGCTTTATTCTCAGCAAGAGCCATGACCATGTTAGGATTACCTACAACAACCAAAAAATTGATGTGCATATGACATATTTACTTCAAATGATTATCTGGATATAAATCTAAGAAATTAAGCAAAATACATACCCAATTTGGGTTAAAAGTAATACATAAATACATACGTACATACATACATATATAATTCAGGAACATTATTTCTTCCTCTCACTCATTCATTATTGGAATAACAATCTTGTATGATATAATTTTCTTTTTAATTATTGTGATGATAAGAGCTATACATTGAATTCATAAAACAAATATAATTTTATTATTAAAATATCAAAAGCTACGTACCTTACTTTAGGAGTTCTTGCATCCACTTCTTAGCCTGAGCAAATGATTCGTGATTCATAAAACGAAACAAGAAATTAAATCATCTAGACTATATAAACAAAAGTCTAGCACCAACTTCTTATCCATGCAAATGAATCTTGATTCACCTTCAAATTGTCATTGTAGTAATTAAAACACATTATACCAAACCAACGAATCAAGATTTGAGTAGCATATAGCAACAACAAAAAACAAGTACAAAGGCGGGAAGAAAAACAGTTCTTTTTGCTGTCAACAAGCACTATGAAGAATATCAGAATGAACAAGAAATGTACTATGAAGACCTATAACATCTACAGAAAACATGCCAAAGTGAAAAATACCATAACAATAAATATTTAATGAAATCTGTTCACTTTAAATCGGGAGGGGGGAGGAATTTGCTTGCTTTCATATTCTTATGATGCATATTATCGTGCTGATATGGAAACAAATTTAATTTTTTATATATCAACCAACGGAAGACATTTAAATATAGACCATTGCACCTAGTAATTACATCAATCTATTTCATTTTGTTTGAGAATTTGACAAGGACATATTTTTTCCCAATTATATAGAACTTACCTAGATATACTATAACCATAAAGACCTTTATCTTGAAAAGACAATTTTGCAAATCATTAACATTACTTAAGCAAGTAGGGAACACGAAGGTAAACAAACATGAGCAATTTCCTCCGATGTACATATCATTCGTGCTCTACTCTCTAAGTTGTAACCACAGCATCAATAGCTGTGTAAATACCTCGTCTAAGATCCTTTGAGATACCTCGTCTAAGATCCTTTGAGTTCATGCAAGTTCCAATTGACTTGCTACCCTCAGTAAATATTGCACGGGTTCGGACAATAGCACATGTAGTACCTGCATGTATTTCATAGAACATGTTCAATTGGATCCAAAAACTTTATTGTGTAGGTCTCGTTTATATTTGCAAGAAATCTGTAGTCTATAACCTAATTAAGTAGAGAACTTACCATCCCCAACAGCATCATTGGTGGAACTTGCATCCTGCTTTTTGACTTTCTCCTTCAACTGAATACTCTTTGCCACACTGTATAGTCCTGTAGAGTCCTAACTTTCACTTCCAATACATGGTTAACAATTTGACTTGGAAAGTATTGATCATGAAAAATGTAATATCAGTGTCTTTGTACTCATTTGTCTTCTAATGTGACATATAGAACAAGTTAAAGGAAAAAAGAAGGTAAAACAAATTAAAAGCTATATGAGACAAGAGTAACAAGTGTAGAGTAAGGGAAGAAAAATATTAGCATCACTGAAAGAGAATGGAAATAAACATCTTGTGCCAAAGGTAACACCAAAAAATTTTAATCAATGGATGAATAATAGAAGAAAATACATACCTTGCTTGGCGACAAGGTCATCCAATAGACAATCATGTCATTATATTTAAAAATCATGGATAGTGTACGAAAGGATGAGGGTGTTTGGGAGTCATTTTTATGTAAAAATATATTTTGAAATAGTAAATTGATGGGAAATGTATGGTTGAAAAATAAGGAAAAAATTTTGATTTACGTGTAATATTGTTTTAATGAAAATTTTGTGGTTGAAAAGAAGAAAGAGAAAAATGCATTTTGAAAAAAATGGGTACCAAACGGATCCAATATAAAAGATGGAAATTAAATATATGTCAGACCTTGTTCAAATGCTCATATTATCGGTTTCCAAGGGCAAATATTTCATACTGAAGATTCTTAAGCCAGTCCCCTCTGTAAATCACTTGTAGAACTTTGTTGCATTCTCGGTAGGCTCACCATTACCATATCTGCAACCAGCAAACAACCATCAAAACTTAAATTGCATACTAACTCATTTACCCTCTGATTTTTTGGCAGATGCAAATATGCATTTATTGTTGAAACTTAAAATCGTATGCACACAAATAACTAATTACTATACATTTGGCACGTGCATATACACAAATTTGGATTTTTATTTGATTCAGGTACAACCAGAAGTAGAATTGATGAATTTATGTGGCAAGAAAGAAGAATGTCAAATTTTCTTTCCATAGGATGGTTAAAAAAAATATCAATTGAAAATGAAAATCACAAATTTACTCAATGAACAAGCAAAGCATAAGTAGAACATCCCCTCTAAAATGAAAAATGAACATGAAAATTCACTATATTGATCACTTTAAACTTAGGCTTTTTATATCTAGCTTTAGCTTCCGAATTACAAAAAAAAACATTAGGTTTTTTTGTTTTAGTTTCCAAAAAAAAAAAAAAAAAAAAAAAAAAAATTTATGAAGATGCGAGAAGGGATATTTGTTACCTTGGAAACTCTATTTGCATTTTCTGATTTTTTTCATACCCACAACATCTATGTAAAAGCCCCACAGGACGTCATGTGACATATAATAACATTTTATTTTAAAACAAAACCCCGAATAGATAAAAAAAAGGAAAAAATAAAATAGTACTTGGGATGACAGCCTCGGTTGAATTTGGTCCCAAGTATTTTTCGCTAAATCTTCCTGCTGCTCTCATTTGTCAAATTTCTTTCGATTGAAAACATATGCAATCACTCTTATACAAGATATTAAAAAATTGATGCAAAAAAGAGAGAAAAATAATGATCTTGTACAGATCAATAGAGAAAAATTATGAGAGAAATCAACGTACCGTTCATCGATCTAGTGATGCAATGCGAGAATCCATTATATCCTCTACTGGAATTAAGAAACAGAGCAAGAGAGATTTGTTGTTCGAATAATTCAACGATCGGCCTCATGTACTCTCCAAAAGAAAGCAAGCGAGCAAGAGGGTTTGACATATATTTACAGGATGTTGTGGACCATCGAGATATTGAAGAGTTGGGAGTAGCTGAAGGAGGTGATTCCGACGAAGGGGATAGCGGAAGATTGACTTCATGTACAATGAGAAAAAGAAAAGAAAACGTATTAGGGAAGCTACCCAAATGTCCATATTGCCCTTTTTTGATATGGTCAAGAGGAGGCGATTCACCATTGTATTTAAGGGTAAAATGGCAAAGTAAAAAAGCTTCCTAAATGAACAGTGGATGGAGGATTCTGTCTTTTAAGAGAGTAGAGATATAGTAATAAAAGTATAAAAAATGTTGGAAAGTATTATATGAATTGATATTTTCAAATGGGTATTACATTGCATTTTCCTCTAAATTGGTTGGGTTATTTAGGCATGTTTAATATAATTAAAAGTAAATAATTTAGTAAATTTTAATAAATTTGATGAAATATGTAGTTTAAAAATAGATAAAAATCGTGAATCTAAGCCTATGTTGGTATGGATTAATATCAAAATTTAACATATTTTGATAAAAGTTGATGAAATATGTAATTGAAAAGTCGTGGAATCCATAAAATAAATAATTAAAATTGAATGTTGATTTTGACTTAAATTAAAATCTAAGCCCCCTTTTGGCTCCATTATTTTAAATTATAATGAAATTAATAATAATTTTTTGAAGGATGTGTGGTTAAAAATAAAGTAAAAGTTTTTAGATTTACGTATAATATTATTTTATTTGAGAATGTGTGGTTGATAAGAAGAGAGACAAATAAATTTTACTAATTTAATGGGGTCAAATAAATAATGAATTTTAATCAGCGCCAATTACGATTTAAAATATGTGATTAAAATTAATTATTGATTTTGATTCGATTTTATTTTTTTATCATTTTGTTTAAATAAACAAAACACAAGCTCATAAAATTCATAAATAAATTTACAAGTCAACTATGATAGAAGTTATGGAAGCTTTGAGAAATTATACAAATGACTATTAAAATTATCATCTTAGTCTCTCAATTTTCTAATCATTATATTCATGGTCACCTTGTGAAAAGTATTTATATTAACCCGACTTCTACAAAAATCAAAATCCAATTCACCAAACCGTTAAGTCAAATTCTCCTCCAAATCAGTTGCACCACTCGCGAAGAACCCTAAGTTCTCCTAAAGAACCATCTTCCCCGAATCAATTGATCCCCAATTTTACCTCAGTCGGCCATTGTTGTATTTGAATGAGTGAATTTAGGGTCGGAACGCCAAACAACTTCTTAAGGGTTGTCCTAAAGTTGAACTGAAAAGATCAAAGTTACAGTCT